AGAGCTCCGTGCCCACCCCACCACTCTGTGACTGCAGGTAGTTTGTCTCTAACCCTTCTCAGGTCCCCTTCCAGTGGCAATAAGAAGGTGACATCTCATCACACCACAGCAAAGGACCTCAGCACACCAGATGACCCCACCAGGAAGCAGTTCTCCACAGATGGGGACCAGAGTAGGTTGAATTTAGCACAAATGACTCAATTTTCTCCCCAGTCCCTCTAGTTTAATTCAGGTTTGGAGCCAAAAGTTGGGAGAAGTTCTCAGGTTCTCAAGGCTGGGAGAAAACATTGACAAAGTGTTTCTGGGTTGGCTTGGGGGCTTGGTTTGGACATCAGCCCAGTCTTGAAGGACCCCAAGAGCACTTGGGATGGTTGGTCACCATCTCCATCTTCCACAGGTGTGAACAAATCCCTCTGCAGTGACACAGAAAGTCTTGGTGGGAGCTGTGAGTCCCGGTCCTTGGACTCTCCTAATTCCAGCCCAGGTGAGAGCAGCAGAACCTCTTCCCTAATCTTGTCCTCAAACAACCTAAAAATGGGGAATAAAGTCCACACTGACCTTCTCTGGGCACCACCAGGAGAGCAGCAGGTTGTATTTTCTCCTTTCTCAAGGAAACTCCACCAGGAAGTTGCTGAAAGCTCCGTCCACCAGCACCATGTCCTCCTCAGATGACTTTGAAGAGAGAGACTCCTTGCAAACGTTGGAGAACGGTAAGCCACCAAGTTCTCAGGGTCTCCAGGTGGAAACTGTGGTCCTGTCTTGGTTCCTTCTCATGCTTTGATGCTGTTTGGGCAGAAAATGGGACACCCCAGCAGCAGCTGAGGAACGTTCTCCTGTCCAGCGCGGCTCAGAGCCACCGGCTGCGGAAGCTCCGAGGTCCCTCCAAGTGCAGGGAGTGTGACACCTTCATGGTCAGTGGCTTCGAGTGCGAGGAGGTGAGGGCCAGGAGATGGCATTGTAGGTGTCTCATCTGGGAGCCTGGGGTGACCATGGCCTCGTGGAAGGTCTGCAGGAACACGGGGCCCATCTGCAAAGTTCTGGGCTTCTTCTGGAGGCTCCTCCTCTGGAGACATTCCCAACACAGCTGGTTCCTGCTGGAGGTTGACCCTGTTCTCCAGAACTGGGTGATCTCCAGAGGTGCCATCCAACTCTTTCAGTGCTACCTGGCCTGCCACAAGAAGTGCCTGGAGAACCTGCTCATCACCTGTGGCCACAAGAAGTTGCCCAACCGAGTCCCCCTCTTCGGCATCGACTTCACGCAGGTTCCTCGGGACTTCCCAGAAGAAGTTCCCTTCATCGTGGTGAAATGCACCTCAGAAATTGAAGCTCGTGCCTTGGGGGTGCAGGTGAGTGGTGAGGTTTTCTTGCTTGGGTCTTCTCCCCAAGTCCAAATCTCCTGAGCTCTCCTCCTTTCTGCCCCACGTAGGGCATCTACAGGATAAGTGGATCCAAAGCCCGGGTGGAGAAGCTGTGCCAGGCGTTTGAGAACGGCCGGAACCTGGTGGAGCTTTCTGAGCACTCCCCCCATGACATCACAGGGGTCCTGAAGCATTTCCTGAAGGAGGTGGGTACCAAACAAGGGCTGCCACCAGCAGCGTGGTCATGGGAAGGGATTGTCCTGCTATACTTGGCTCTCATGAGGCCCCATGTGGGGTCCAGGAGGCCAAGGAGGCCCATGAGCTCCTGGGGGGCACCAAGGAGAGTGTGGGCAGGAGGGCAGGGAGGTTCTCCTGCCCCTCTGGTGAGGGCCCATCTGGAGAAGTGGGTCCAGGTTTACAGCCCCCAACATAAGGAGGACATGGAGCTGTTGGAGGGAGAGCAGAGGAGACCATGGAGATGATCCAAGGCTGGAAAACCTCTGGAGACAGGCTGGGAGAGGTGGGAATGTTCAGCCTGGAGAGGAGAAGGCTCCAGGGAGCCCTGGAGCAGCTTCCAGTGCCTGAAGGGGCTCCAGGAAAGCTGGGGAGGGACTTGGGCCAAGGGCAGGAGTGATGGGACCAGGGGGGTGGCTTGAAACTGGCAGAGGGAGCTGGAGGTTGGACCCGAGGAGGAAATTCTTGTTTGGGAGGGTGGGGAGAGCCTGGGCCAGGGAAGCTGTGGCTGCCCCATCCCTGGCAGTGTCCAAGGGCAGGTTGGATGGGGCTTGGAGCAACCTGGGCTGGTGGGAGGTGTCCCTGCCCATGGTGGGGGTTGGACTGGATAATCCTTGAGATCCCACCAACCCAAACTATTCCATGATTCTATGAAACCTGAACTCTTGGCCTCATTCCTGGCTGCCATTCCAGCAGGATGAAGTAAGATGTTGTCTTCCTCCCTCTTGCTGCAGCTCTCGGCCCCAGTGCTGATGTCCCAGCTCTATCAGGACCTCATGGCTCTTGCCAAAGATTTGCAGAAACCTGGAGAAGAAAAATTGGATTGTGCAGGTTTCCCTTCTGATCCCATCCAGAGCATGAAGGATCTGCTGAGTAAATTGCCTGGAAGCAACTACAACACCCTGAGGCACCTGATTGCCCACCTGTACAGGTGAGGAGATGGTTAGTGGCAGGTCCATGCCCAGGAGATCCCTGGTGGTCCCTGAGAGAGGCTTGCAGAAGTGGTTGAGATTTCCCAAAATGGTTCAGGTCCTGCTGCCAGGTCCAATCTGTGCTTCCAGTGAGGAGGAATGAAGGTGGATGGATTGATCCATCTCCAAGAAGGATATGGAGGGGCTGGAGTGTGTCCAGAGAAGAGCAATGGAGTTGGGAAAGGGGCTGGAGAACAATGAGAAGGGGCTGGAGGACAAGGGGAAGGGGCTGAGGGAGCTGGTGGGAGGTGGCCCTGCCCAAGCAGGCGGTTGGATCTAGATGAGCTTGAAGGTCCCTTCCAACCCAAACCATTCCATGATTCTCTAATAACTCCTGAGGTTTCTCTCCGGGGTTTCCCTGCAGAGACCAGAACTCTGCTCCCCATCAAGGATGGAGGTTGTGTCTCCAGCAGAAAAAATGGGGGATTTTGGTGCATCCCAGCTGGGTCCTCAGGAGGTGGGATGTCCCTGATAGTCCTGTTTCCCTTCCCTAGGGTGGCAGAGAAATATGAAGAGAACAAGATGTCCCCAAACAACCTGGGAATCATCTTTGGGCCAACGCTGATCCGACCAAACTCAGGGAATGATGTCTCCATGTCATGCCTGGTTGACTCTGGGTATCAAGCCCAAATTGTGGAATTCCTCATCCAGAACTATGAGAGGGTTTTTGGGATGGAAGAGCTGCCTCCATCCACGTCCTTGGGATGTGAAAACCCTTCCCAAGAACCAACGAGTGAAAAGGATGAAGGACCTGAGGGCCCAAAGACAATCCAGAATGTAACTCCAGAGGTAGAGCTCCCTGAGGCTGAGCTGGGCTTGCTCACCTTGCTGTAGGCAAGAAGCTTGAGGAGCAATTAAAGAGAACATTTCCGTGGATGACAAACCCATTTCCACCAGTGGGTTATTCCAAAGGGAAGGAGCAGGGAACGAGTTGCATGGGAAGTGGGAGAAAGAGATAAAAAATAGGAGCTAGGGATCATGTAGAAGCTTCTCAGGCCAATCTGGAGGGTGGTTTTTGGTCCATGTTTTAGGTCCAAATCAGCCTGAAAAGTTATGGGATTCTCTGGTGAGACCCACCAGGAGAACTGGGTCCAGTTCTGGAGTTCTCACCACAGGAAGGACATGGAGCTGTTGGAGAAAGTCCAGAGGAGGCCACGGAGATGATGGGAGGGCTGGAGCAGCTCTGGAGACAGGATGGGAGAGTTGGGATGTTCAGCCTGGAGAAGAGAAGGCTCCAGGGAGAGCTTAGAGCACCTTCCAGTGCCTGAAGGGGCTCCTGGAAAGCTGGGGAGGGATTTGGAACAAGGGCAGGAGGGATGGGACCAGGGGGGATGGCTTGAAACTGGCAGAAGGAGATTTAAACTGGCAAGAATCCTAAAGTTCAAAGGGAGTGAGACTTGGGCTGAGGGATCCTCTGCCTCCTGCTTTGGAGTTACAGAGTCACAGACTCGTCAGAGTTGGAAGGGAGCTCTGGAGATCATCCATCCAACCCCCCTGGAGAGCAGGGTCACCTCCAGCAGATCCCACAGGAACCAGCCGGGCTGGGAATGTCTCCAGAGCAGGAGACTCCACAGCCTCTCTGGGCAGCCTGGCCCAGGGCTCTGCCACCCTCCCAGGCAACAACTTCCTCCTCCTGGGGAGCTGCAACTTCCCATGTTCCAGCTGGTGCCCATGGCCCCTTGTCCTGGCCCTGGGCACTGCTGAGAAGAGCCTGGTCCCCCCCTCCTGCCCCCCTGGAGATCTGGAGCAGCCTTGAGGAGACCCCCCCTCAGGCTCCTCCTCTCCAGCTCCACAGCCCCAGCTCCCTCAGCCTTTCCTCATGGGCCAGATGCTCCAGTCCCCTCAGCCCCTTGGTGGCCTTTGCTGTCCCCTCTCCAGCAGCTCCTTGTCCTTCTGGGGAGCCCAGCCCTGGACCCACTTCTCCAGATGGGCCCTCACCAGAGGGGCAGGAGAACCTCCCTGCCCTCCTGCCCACACTCTCCTTGGTGCCCCCCAGGAGCCCATGGGCCTTCTTGACCACCAGGACACACTGACCCCCCCTGAACCTCCTCCTCTCCAGCTGAACTCAAGAGGTTGGTCCAAGATGTCCTCAGTGAGCAGATCCAGGGCAGCTTTGTCTCCAGGCCCCTCTGACTGAGGAAGCAGAAATGAGAACAATTGAGTTGCCACAAACTCCCCAGGATGGACCCAGTTCCCTCCTGCTGGGCAGAAAAATCCCACAGGATTCCTCAAAAAGTCATGGAAAACTCTTGGATCCACCCAAAAGTGGTGCCTTCTGGGGCTGTTTTCCAAGCCACTTTTCCTGCTGCTCCACAGGAAATGTAGACACGTGTGGTCAATTCCAGATGTGGACATCTGGACATTTCCATGTGTGGAAGTGTCACAGACCTTGACAAAGGGAAGTTGCTCCTGAGGACACTCTGGTTTGGCCACCAGAAAAAGCCACCAGGTGACCCAATTCACTGGTTCCACACCACCCAGGTTCCCCTGTGTCCTTCACTCCTCCTCCCATCTCCCTTTGAGGATGACTGTGCTCCAGTGGGCAGCTCAGTTCCTGGTGTTTCCCCTTTTTTCTTTTATAATTGGCCACTTCTTGGTCCCGTGGGATGTGGGCATCAGTCCCACCACCAGCAGGTGCTTCCGGGGTGAATTTCATGGCAGGGACACTGGAGCTGGCAGGTCTTTTGGAGAACAAGCCTTGTGAGGAGCAGCTGAGGGAGCTGGGGGTGTCCAGCCTGGAGAAGAGGAGGCTGAGGGGAGACCTTCTGGCTCTGCAACTGCCTGGAAGGAGGTTGGAGCCAGGGGGGTCGGGCTCTGCTCCCCAGGAACAAGGGATGGGACCAGAGGAACCGGCCTCAAGTTGCCCAGGGGAGGTTGCGGTGGGATTTGGGGAACAATTCCTTCCTGGCAAGGGTTGTCAGGGCCTGGCCCAGGCTGCCCAGGGCAGGGGGGGAGTCCCCATCCCTGGAGGGGTTTCCAAGCCCTGGAGATGGTGCTGAGGGACATGGGTTAAGCACTAGACTTGGTAGAGTTGGGTTATGGTTGGAGTTGATGATCTTCAAGGTCTTCTCCAACCAGGATGACTCCATGATGTAGTCTCCTGGCCCTGGCCTGTGACCTTCCAAGCTCCTTTCCTACTCCCCCAAGAGTTACAGATGATCTGGGAGAAATCCAAGCACTTTCAGCTCCAGTGGAACCTCCTCTCCCAGCACTGGGGTGAAGTGGGTGGTGACAGTATCTTCCCATCAGATCAAAGTCCTGTCTAACCACTGGTGGCTTTTCCCCAACAGAATTCCTCCTCCCAGTGTGGTTTCACTGTGGATGGTGTCTCTGATGATGAGTCTTCCAGTGAAGCCACCCAGAAAGTGTCTCTGGAGGGAACCCACAGCCTGTTGAGCCTGGATGCTGGAGGTAAATGCTGTGGGGATAATGGTGCTGATGGAGGTTGTCTCCTACAAATCTTCTGAGGAGCAGCTGAGGGAGCTGGGGGTGTCCAGCCTGGAGAAGAGGAGCCTGAGGGGAGACCTTCTGGCTCTGCAGCTGCCTGGAAGGAGGTTGGAGCCAGGGGGGTCAGGCTCTGCTCCCCAGGAACAAGGGATGGGACCAGAGGAACCGGCCTCAAGTTGCCCAGGGGAGGCTGAGGTTGGATCTGGGGAACAATTCCTTCCTGGCAAGGGTTGTCAGGGCCTGGCCCAGGCTGCCCAGGGCAGGGGGGGAGTCCCCATCCCTGGAGGGGTTTCCAAGCCCTGGAGATGGTGCTGAGGGACATGGGTTAAGCACTAGACTTGGTAGGGTTGGGTTATGGTTGGTAGTGTTGGGTTATTGGTTGGGTCTGATGATCTTCAAGGTGTCTCCAACCAGGATGAGATTCTGTGGTTCTGTGATATAAACCAAATCAATAACCTTGTAACTCCTTCAAACATGTCCCTTGGAATTGCTCCTGATGAATGAGTTGGATTAATTGAGCCTGTTAATGCAGGAGGGATTTCACAGAATCCTGTTGGTTGGAAATATCCTCCTAAGATCACCAAGTCCAACCATTTCACCATCATCTCCAAGACGATGATAAATATTAATCAGCCCTAATAATTAGTCATGTTAACCTCAGGGGTCTAAGACAATTCTCTGATTTTTGGTTCAGGGCTGAACAGCAGTGCTGGCTCAGAGCTGGAGGACTCCATGCAGGAGAAGAGGGACAGTGACTGGGACATGGTCCCAGGGACCCAACCCAGGTGCCACTTCAGCCGCCAGCCCGTGAAGTACGTGCGGGCTCCGGGAAAAACCAAACCAGCCATTCCCAGATCATCCAACTTGAGGACTACCACATTGGCTAACGTGGCTACTGAGTCTGGTGGAGAAGACAACCCTCCCAATGGCAGCTCCATGGCCAAGGACATCCCAGAGGAGGACATGAGGAGCAGGAACAGGTCACCAGACACCAACGCGCTCCAGAGGGAGGTGGCAGCTCCAATGCTTGGAGATCACACGGATCTCCAGGATTGTCTCCAAGTTGAACCTTGATGACACTTCTGTGTACCTTGAGCCTTCCCTGGAGAGTGCAGGGTCTAAGGAGGACACTGAGGACCTCAACCCTGAGGACCTGGGAAACTGGGAACAACTGTGGAAAGGGAGAAGGGACTGAGATCCCACCTGTGGAGCAGAGGAATGAGATCCCGGTGGGATTTACCATCCTGGCTGGAGGAAAAGCACCTCTAGTTGGTCACTGGTGGACCCAGGATTGGCTTGTTCCTCCTTGACAGACCCCTACAAGTGACTAGAAGCCACCGGCCAAGACTTTCTCTGGAGCATGAAGGACAAGGTGAGGAGTGGAGGAAAAATCCAGCTGGGAAAGTGTTAGTGGGAAGGAGGGGATGGAAACGTCGACATCAGATGGAAAACGTCCCCAAAGGGTCAATTCCCAGAGCTGTGACAGGCCCCAATTTTTGCCATTTTTGAGTGTAACTTGCTTGTTGAGTGGAACAGAAGCCTTGTTCTCCAGACCCTTCTCCTTCCATTCCTGGAGCTTCAAGCCCTGGGTGAGCCCAAAGGTGGGAAGGAGAAAATCCCATTTCTCCAAAGAGCAAGGAATTCTGTTTCCCTTGGAGCACCTGGAGCTTCTGCAACTCTTCCATGGGAAGCTGCTGCTGGGAAGGAGGCAAAACCCCCAGCAGATATGAAGATTTTCTGGGGTCTAAGACCAGGTTGTTGGTCTCCCATCTCACCCGCTTTTGGGATGTCCCAATTTTGGGGCTGTTTTCTGCTTCCCTGGATTTTCTGTCCACCATTCCAACACGAAGATGGGGAGAACCTTGTCCTGTAGTGCCACCTCGTGACGGGATCTTGGAGAGCTCAGCGTTGGAGGATGGGTATGAACCGACTTCCCTGGTGGTGGGTTGTGGGAACAGCCCGAAATTCAGGCAAGAGCAGGAAAACTTCTGTGCTAGGTGAGATTTCAGCGATCACCACCTGCTGAGAAGACACCAGGAGGTGTTCAGACACCAAGAGGGGTTTGAAGACACCAGGAGGTGTTCTGAGGCACCAGAATATGTTTAAAGGCACCAGAAGATATCTGAAGGCATCCAGGAGATGTTCACAGATGCCAGAAGACATTCAAAAACACAAGGATATGTTGGAAGAGATGGTCTTCAAAGGTCCTTTCCAACCCCAATAACTCTATGGTGATGCCAGGAGATGTTTGAAGACCCTGGGTGATGTTCAAAGAGGTCAGGAGACACTTGAAGGCACCAGAAGACATTTGAGGCACCAGGAGACAGATGTTCAAACACACCAGGAGGTGCTTGAAGACTCCAGGAGATGTTCAAAGACTGCAGGAGTTGTTTGGAGACACCAGGAGATGTTTGGAGACACCAGAGCTCAGTGCTGGAGGAGAACGTTCTGCTGTCCCCCAACATCTCAAAATGGGGTTAAATAAATGGGTTCCCCCTCATCAAGGGACCATGTTTGTGTCCTGCTCCTTGGCAGGATTGGAAAAGAATGTTGAGGATCTTCTCCTTGGGACCTCCACAGCTCAGGCTGGAGAAAGTTCTTCCACTCTGGAACAAGGTGGATTTATTAATAGAAAGCTTGAAATTTGGAAATATTCCAATTATCTTTGACTTCTTTAATAAATTGATGGGGGTTTTGATGACAAATTTATCCCAGATTTGTTCAATGTGAGGAGGAAAAGCTGAAAGAAACACTTTGAGGCTATTTTGGGAGGTCCCAAGTGTCCCCAGGTGTCCATAAAACCAAGGGAAGGTTTAACCACTGGAGTTGTTGGGATGGGGGATTTGGCTTATAGAGAAGTGGGAGGGGTTTGTGTCCATCACCCCATCAGCTTTTCCCTCCCAAAATTCCAGCCAAAGCTTCACCCTGACCTTGGAATCACTTCTTTGGGATGCAGGGTCCAAGATGTTCCTCCTCCTGCTGCTTGGGATGGATTTTCCCACCATCCAGTCGCCACTTCTGTGCTTTGCTTGGGAAAATCCAGCTGCTGAAATGAAGGGAAAAGGTGGTTTGGGGAGAGAAAACATCATTTCCATGATTCTTCTCACCTCCTTGGGGCAGCATCTCCCTTCCTAGGAACCACAGGGAGGGAGAGGAGAACCCTGGGAAGCTCCAACCAGGACCAGCATGAGCAGAGAAGCTTTGGGAATGTCCCATTTTCCCAGCAACACCTTAGGAAGTGGTTGTGACCCTTTTAGCAGCCAAAAAAAGACCTCAAAACCCAAGGTTTTCTAGCTTTTCTCCTCATTTTTCAGTCTTCTTGTGAGTTCAGAGCAGGATAGAACCAGCTGATCTGCTCTAGGCACTAATTAAGTTAATTAATAGCTTCAGATCTTCCTAAACGAGGAGCTGGGCTAGGAATTGAATCTTAATTTTGAGACCAAGAGGTCCATGATTTCCTGGGAGCAACCACACCCCTTGACAGGGGCTAATTAACCAGTGGTTAATTGGGAGCAGGCAAGGACAAATTTTGCCCCAAACATCCTGATTTTTATTTGGTTTATCACAGAATCACAGAATGTTGGGGGTTGGAAGGGAGCTCTGGAGATCATTGAGTCCAGGAACACCCAGGATCGTGGCCAGATGGGTCTTGGAAGCCTCCAGAGCAGGAGACTCCACAGCCTCTCTGGGCAGCCTGGCCCAGGGCTCTGCCACCCTCATGGTCAAGAAGTTCTTCCTCATCTTGAGGTGGAACTTCCTGGGCTCCAGTTGGAATCCATGGCCCCTCCTGCTGTCACAGGGCACAAGTGACAAGAGGTTGTCCCCTCCTTCTTGACACCCACCCTGCAGATACTGATAGATGTTCATCAGGTGCCCCCTCAGGCTTCTCCTCTCCAGACCAAACAGCCCCAGGTCTCTCAGCCTTTCCTCAGCAGATGTTCCAGTCCCTCCATCATCCTTGTAGCCTCCCTTGGAGTCTCTCCACTCAATCCCTGTCCCTCTGGAACTGGGGAGCCCAGCCCTGGACCCACTTCTCCAGATGGGCCCTCACCAGAGGGGCAGGAGAACCTCCCTGCCCTCCTGCCCACACTCTCCTTGATGCCCCCCAGGATTCCATGAGCCTTCTTGGCCACCAGGGCCCCTTGTTCCCTCATGGATCACTTCTTGACCACCAGGACCTTCTCCATGGAGCTGCTCTCCAGCAGGTCACCTCCCAGCCTGTCCTGGTCCATCTTGTCCCTCCCCAGGTGCAGGACCCTACACCTGTTGGACCTCATGAGGTTCCTCCTTGCCCAGCTCTCCAGGTCTCCTTGAACCTTCTCACCACCTCCTGGTGGATCAACCAACCCTCCCAGTTTGGGATCCTCATGGAACTTGCTGAGGACACTCCCTGTCCCCTCCTCCAGGTGGTTGGTGAAGATGTTGAACGGGACTTGGCTCAGTTTTGAGCACCACTGGTCCCAGGTCTCTCCAGCTCCTTGGCCATCACCCTCTAAAGAAGTCAAAGCAAACAAACCTGCAGGTGTCTTCAGCTTGGAAGGAAGAATCCCAGGATTTTCCAGCCATGAGGAATTTCCTTCACACCTTTGGGAAGAAGAACCAGGCAAAAAACATCACCTTTTTTTGGACAATCTGAAGATCTTGGTCCAATTCTTCATCCCATCCTTCCCCTTTGGCCTTTTTTTTTCCTCTCCTCCTCCTATTAATAGTAATTATTATGATTATTCAAGTTAAATAAATATGAAAGAATTCCTTCTTAAGGAATAAAAAAATCCAGCTCTCCTTATTTTCATCATCTACTTGGAGAAATCAAATGGAAATTGAAACAAAACCCTCAAATATTCATTAAAATTATCCCCAGAAAGTGAATTTTTGCCCCCCCCAAATATTCAGCCCATTTATCAGCTTCATTCCCAGGTGTTTCCTCTCAACCTTCACCTCCCACCTTTTTAGCCTTGGGATATAAAGGCAGGGATGAGGAGTTGAGCTTGGGATGGAAAAACATGGGAATTCTGAGGGTTTTATTCTTGGAGTGGATTTTTTTCTAGGAGCTTTTCCTGCTTTGCCTCATCTCAGGGTAAGAAATGAAATGATCAGCTTGGGAAAGGGGATGAAAATCTTGGTTGTTTGGTGATAAATTGAATTATTCCTGGCTAAGGTAGCCAGGAAAACTTCTGGAATGCTGCAGGGTGTGAAATAATTTGGATTTTTTACCCTTTTTTTGCTTTTTTTGGCTTTATAAATAACCAATGAGCAGCTTGGATGGAAAGTGAGATTTATTTTTCCTCCCCTTTTCCTACTGGGAGCTCCTGCAAACAAACAGGTTTTGTTTTCTTCTTCCCTCTGGGGTATTTTTTGGAATATTCTTGGGTTTCTGGATGTCCTTGGGAATGGCACCTATGGGAGAAGAAGAAATCCAAGCAGAGCAATTTCTGACCAGAAAAGAAAACAAAGTTGGAAAACACTTTGGGGGGGATTTAGGGGAATTGAAGTGTTTGTTAAAAATGTGGAATTACAACCCCCCAGTGTGTCTGGCACCTCAAGGCATTCCCAGAATCCTTCTGCTTGGAAAAAAACCTTGAAGAATCCAAGGATTAACCAGGAAAAACCTGGGATGAACCAGATGGAATCCACAGTTTTGCCCTTTGGGGTTGGAATCATTCAGGGCTCTGGTTCTTCATTCCTTTTAATTAATATAATGTCATGAAAAGCTGTAATTCCAGCTTTTCCTTGGCAGTGAGTTTGGGATTCCCAACATCCAGGAGAGGGTCAGTTTCCTGGGTACCTTAAAAACAAGTTTTAAGTGGGTTTTATAGTTTTATTTTTCTGTCTAAATGTTGAATAAGTTAACTAGAAGCCTTTTATGCCCTTTCTAAAAATGACTTAATTAAGTGATTATTATTTTGGGGGGTTTCCTGTCACTTTTGCAAGTTGTTAAAGTGCGTTATTTAGGTTTGTTTTTTTCCCCTAAAAATGTTCCTGAAAGCTCAAGGTTTTAGGAAGCCAGGAAAGTATCCCAATTAATCAGAACTAAAGCAAATAAAGTAGGAAAGGTTTGGAAACCTTGGATGTTA